CTTACGTTGTGGAAGCACTTTCCAATCAAAATTTCATTGTGCCTTGGATGCTTAGATCGCAGTAGATCTTTAACTCTTAGCAGGCTTTAAAACATGAATTTTATAAGTTTCTTATATTTCAGGGAGGGCAACAAAGTTGTTGGTAAGTTATATGATATTTATCTAACTACGGGTCCATTGTGGTTTTCTGCTCCTGACATCGTGAAGCAATTTATTTAGGAAAAATTTTATATTGGTATTTTATGTTATAACAAAATTATTTTTTAATACCTTGTGTAATAGAAAACAGTTGAAAGTTATTTTTATTTTTCTGTTTTTATTTTTTAGTACTTGTCAATAATATTATAATATATTAATTTATAAACACGATTTTACTTTTTTATTATACTCAAAATAATCTCTTAAAAAACTAACCAAACATAATTCAGAATTAATTCTAAAATAATTTTTAGAACAATCTCATTTTTATTTTTTATTAAAAACAAAACTAATTTCAAATGCACTCAATATTCTTTACTTTGACCAAGCTAAAAGTACCATCTAAGCTATCTAGATTCTCCTTGTCATTATAGTAATAAAGTGAAATATGTTAATCAGTGACGGATACTTTCACAGTCCAGATCATTTGAACCGTCTAGCAATACCAAGAGATGCCTGAAAATGTTGGCACATAAGTTCGTTAAAAAGATTCCCATTTTAAATTCATGGTCATGAGCAGTTTAATTAGTCCGAGGTTTCAAGTATTAGGACTCGTTTATTTTATACATTTTAACCCATAATTTTAATTTTATTATAGTGTTTTTATCTCATAAAAAATTTAAATTTCACGTGTTAAAATTAAGAATCACCCATTTAAACGTTTAAACTAAACGAGCTTTTATTGTTACAATTTGAGCCTGTGAAACTTGCCACATTGCAAGAACATAGGAAATTTAATAGACGTTTCATGATTTGGATGTTATAATATAATATGGATCACTATCTTACCAAAGTCTACTAACCTTTCTTAAGAAATAGATAATATCATTGACACGGCTCATGCCTCATAGACAGATATGTCTATCCATGACGCATCATCATCATTTTCAGTCAGCATATAACCGTCGTCTTAAGTTGTAATTAACAACAGTTAAAAACCATCATCAAACGTTGTTAATATTTAACGATTCCTAATTAGATGTCGCTTCAAACCATGGTTAAACACATGATTTGTACTAGTGACACAAGAAGGTATGATCGAAATTAATAAAATTGTTACATTACCAGTGCAATAAAGTAACAACCTTGTAAAATTCGTAAGTTGATAATTCATTTTTTAAAGAATAATGTAGTAAATAGCAGATTTATGAAATTAAATTAAGTAAATAACATATTTTAAAATTATTTGAAGTAAATAGCAGTTTACTGCGTAAATATTTTTAATTACAAATAGTAAAAAGATTTTTTTTTCCACATAAATTGGTTATAAAATGTGGTGAACATACAATAAAATAGCACATATTAACTTTTTTATTTATTCATATATATGTTAATTTTTGTGATCTTTTGTATGCACATATAAACTTTTGACCACAATTATTGCTTTTCTTTTAAATTTAGAATTCATATATGTATCTTGGTTTAAAAAGATAATTTATGTACAAGTAGTAAAAGCATACAACTCTTGTTAAATTAATAAATATTTATTTATCAATAATTAAGTAAATAACCCCTAATACTATTTTTTTTTCTTAATCCCAAGAATATAATATTATTTTCTAGGGATTTTAACTATATATCGTTGAATTTGCTGCAAGGTCCTTCGACTACGTACAATTTGGTTTTCTTGCAATGTCCACAAATAAATTGACAAGTTTATAATCAAATATACGCATGATTGATTGAAAATGTTAGGAACTTGCTGAAATTGGAATCCGTTTTTCAAAACACGCACATGCATAAAAGCAGTGATTACTGATTAGATCGTTGATTTCGAAGTACTAGTTAGTCAAAAATGAAATTGCAGAGGAAACTTTTCATATTTGTCATCTTCCTTTTGTTTGTTTCTTTCTGCACCTTTCTTTTTTGTTTTTTTGTTTTTTTTTTTTTCCATCTTTTTGATTGCAAAAAACAGCAATAAAATTAATTTGGTGCCTTTTATTATAATAAAATATTGACTTAATATCTTATATTTTTTATAATATTAAAATGATACATCAATATTTTAGAAAACATTTTTTTATACTTTGGAGCTAATTTTTAGAAGATAAAATGACACTTATACCTTATTCATTAATTAAATAGAAACCAATAATTTATAAAAAAAAAGTCTGAAAATATTTAAAACAATTAAAAACTTAAAAAAACAAAATAAGAGTTTCTCTGAAGTTATTCGAGAAACCTCCCACTCCCCATTTAATCTCACATTTGAGAACCCCACTTTCTAAAACGTTGACCTATCATTTTAATATTATGAAAAACATAGAGTATTTAACTCATTGTTTTGCTATAATACAAGTACTAGATTGATTTCATCCTCAAAATACATTTCATTAATCAACAAACCATGAAGCTTACAGAGAACATTTTGGCCTCGTTCAGTTCGCGAATTCGAGTTTTCAATTCAAGTTGAGATGTGATTTTATGTGAGAGTTTTTCACTGTAGCAAAAAAGTTAGATGTGACTTTTTACGAGAGCTTTTAACTATAACAAAACTGAAATTAAAAACTCAAATTAATGAAATGAACGAGGCCTTTATTAATCAACAAACATTTCATTAAACATTTATGCACTTTCAAATCCAATATGTCCTCTTCTCCAAAGGCTCACAATTTTTAACAATTTGTAAACTTTGATAAATATTGGTGTACACTATTCTAGGATATGCAAAAAATACTCTAGCATAACAAATTTTTAAATGTTAGTCACATAAACACAATAATATGTTTCTTGTATTTTATGAGTGCAATTAATGTATTCATAAAGTCGTGTGCTTTTTTTAGGCAACATAAGTTTTGAGTTCGATTTTATGCAATTCATCACATTGTAAGCATATTTTGATTAATTAATTCTTTTTATTTTGCAAATACCAAAATTATAGAAAAAAATGAGAAAATGTTAATTTTTTGTTTTAATTTAAAGCAACACATTTGAGGGTAGTATTTTGTTAGTACGTCTACTTGTGTCGTGTTGTTGTAATTTCTATATCAAGTCCTGTTTAGTTATCATTTTTATGACTCAAATACATTACCAAACAATGAAATGAAGGTAAAAGCAAAGCAAACGAAAAAGGGGGTTGAGTTTGAAATAAAGACGATAAAACAAAACCTGTTTCATACCATATCTAGATCTCGAGAGGTTCTATGCATTTGAGTTTGATTTTTACTTTTTTATAAGGAAAAACCCTATTTTTTTCCAAATTGTTTAAACTATTATCCATACTAATATACCGTATTCTAAAATGTTAGATTGAAATATTATAAAAAATAAAAATAATAAATCTGATAGAGTTTAGAGATGCAGAATAATAATAGTATGGAAAATAATTTTTTTTATACCTCACCTCCAAAGTATGTTTAGGACAATTGTTATTGGACACATCATTGTTTTGATTTGCTTCTAAATAACCTTATTATAGATTTATGTAGTTTATGAATTCAGAATCATGATTCAAAATTATTCTTGATTTATGTGTGTTTTTTGTGAGAAAAAATATTGTAGTAAGTCACGAATCATGATCCGATCATGACACGAATCTACCAATCAAACACATTAACGTCATGCGATTTTATTGAGTAGGTTGTGGACAACTCTCTTTCACCTTTATTATGGAGGAAAATACAAGTTTACCAGTGAGAGGGGAAAAAAAGGTCTAAAATCTCATATATTTTTTTACACTTTTTTATAGCTATTACACTTAAATAATATAATTAGTGGTGACAACAATAACTCCCAAAAGAGTGATACCACGGCATTAAAAAATTGCTGTACAACTTGTAGTCGAATTAAAAGTGATCGTGAACACATTTTTCTCTCCTTTTCAATGCAAAAAATTGGAATTGACTGAAGAAGCATGAATTTATTGGACCCCACAAATGGATGCTTGAAGCACAAGACATCGTTTGATTGCTTGAGTCAAAATTAGACCATCTCACATGATTGCTTCTATTTGCCCAAAAATTCTGTAGTGAATGCCAAGATATCATTAGTTGTAAAAACTTGATTTTTAAAATTAAAAGTGGACATTTTTTTATTGTGAGACCCCTTAAGAAAAACAACTAAAATTCTCAGTTTTAATCATTAAATTAATTTTTTAATAATTAATTTTCTACAGATTGATATCAAAAATTTATAACTGTACTGTTGCAGATTTTTTAAGAGGTCTATTGAGAGAAGGTTTTAAAATTAAAATTAAAATTAAAATTAAAATAAAAAAAAAAGAAAATCCCAATACACTGGTGAATTTTGACCTTGTGATTTCAAAGTGGGACCCTTTAAAATGCTGTCCACACTAACTCCTCAAATCTGACTTTTTGTAGACTCCATTTGCTGCCCCATACTCATATACCTAAAGAGGGAGATGGTCTACTTTAACCTAAACCCAAATACATAGAGACAGAGCTACAGAAAAAGATAGAAGGGATTTCATTTTCTCTCTCTTTATTTTTTATTTTTTTATTTTTTTCTCCTCAGTAAAGAGGGATTGATTAAAGATGGTTGTTTATTATTCTTTTTTTTTTTCTCTTGGTTTAATGAGAAAAGCATATTAATTTGGTTAAAAAAAAGCAAAAGTGAAAGCAAAAGTTGAAAATTCACAGATTTCCATACCTTCTTTCTCTTTCTCTCTCCTGCTTTCTCTTTCAGACTGGTGCTTGTTGATTATTATAACCACAATTACCACAATTACCCAACAAGAAGACAAAGCAGAGCCCACCTAACAAACCCACAAAAAGAGAAAACTACCCACAATTAAATTTAAAGAAAAAAAAAACACTCAAATTTTAATAAATGAACCTAAATCCAAAAAGTAAAAAACCAAAATCCAATTCTAAATATTCTTTTCTCTGCCATTAATTCAACTCAAATCCACTTTCTTTCCCACATCATCTTCCCTCTATCCCTCAAGCTCCCTTTATTTTTTTTCCTCTCTAGCAAACAAAGAAAAAAAAAACCAAAACTTTGTCACAAGGCTCAGCAAAATCTGAGCCACAACCAGAAAAAGAAGAAAAAAACCAAAAACCATGCCTGTTCTTACAGAAAGTATTGAATTGAGAAGACCCAGAAGCCAATTTGCGGAGCTTATCTCTGAAACCGATCCAAACCCATCTCAGACACAACAAATCCCTTCCATAATCCAATCCACTCGCGGCAAATCTACCATTTCGTCTCTCCTTCTCTCAACTTTTTCCAACAGCAACGGCAATGAAACCGCCATGGCCATGAACAGCGTGAAGAAGAAAAACAACTTTTCTTCGGCGAGTTTCAGGGGGATGGGATGCAGTGCGGGATCCTCACAGCAAGTCTCTGTGCCGGCGGTGATCCGGACGTCGGCGGATTGGGAAGGGAAGAAGGTGAGGAAGAAGAAGCAGAAGAATAGTAATAAGAAGAACAAGAGTAAGGAGGGGGGAAAGGACAGAAATGCCCTCCTTGATGGTGGTGGGCAGCAGAATTGCGTGGATTTTCAGGATGTCTGGTGTGGGCCCGGCATCGGGTTCTCGGCCGATGCGGCGGCCTCCGTTGACTGCGTTGTCGCCACCAGGAGGAATGCTGCTGGTGGGTCCCGTGGGAAGATTGATGGAGAGAAGATGACTAGTGGCCACAGAGAGGTATTTTTCACGTTGCGTTTATTTTTGAAATTAGGTCTCAAATTTTCGCTAAGCTATGCTTGAAAGGCCCTTTTTTCAGTTATATTACACGCTTTGAAAATTAATTCTTATTTACGTATTTTGAATTTGGTTTTGTTGTTTTGACTATGTTGCTTACTTGCTTCTTCTTTGTGAGTAACAATTTTCCAATTATGTCCATTCATAATTGTTGATTTTGGACTATGTTGTTGTGTTTTGATTAATGAGATATTCTCATTTTGGGTTTGTTAGTTTTTTCTTTCATGTACCTTTCAGTGATCATATTTATTATTTACTTTTGGGGGTCTAATGCGTGCACGTATTAATTTCATAGTAGCCAACGGGAATTGAACTCGTCGGCTCATGGTTTATTTTATTTGGTTATTTATTTATTTAACAGGTATTTATTTAACAGGTATTTATTTGTTAGGGATAACATAATTAGCTTTGTGATGAGTGGAGGATATTTCCGTTCCGTTCTATGTTCACTAATAAGCTCAAGTCTTTTGGTTTTCCTTTTAGGTTTCTTTTTCCTGTAAGTCCATTCCTCCGTATTAGTTTGTTTTCATTTTGGCTTTGTTATTGATTATTTGCTTTGCTTATTCTTGTTGGCAGCGTTCTTATTTAGCAAGGCGAGCCGTCATCCCTGAGCCTACCCCATTTTTTGATACTGAATCCGACTTCTTGTCGGAACGCCCTGGTTCGGAGGTTTTTGGTGCTAGGTATTTTCGCCATGTTCGACACCCTTCTCCTGAAGGCCTTGCTGAGGTGTGTACTGATATTGTTAGTGTACATTATCTGTTTGTTTTGTTGAAATGGAAATTAGTCAATGTGGAATACCTGATTGAGAAACACTTTTACTTTGAATATATGCATCTGTGCATTGCAAGAAGTATTTTTACATGTCAACTAATATTCCTTTCTTCTTTACAAGGATAAGAAAAGGTAAAGATGCCCAAGTAACGATTATTTTAGGATGTACTAGTTGTCTTTGAAACTGCGTTAATAAGTAATAAGCCTTTATTTATTCGTTTCCATATTCAAGGGATTTCACTTGGGTCATTTAAAACCATATTTTGTATAATACCAGAAGGAACATAGTCTGGTTAATTGGTTTGCGAACTTCTCTGTCCACTTATTTATTTTTTCCCAGTCCTCCGCTCGAATCGACGCTCT